AAAGTCACAATTGATCTTGGTTCTAAGGATTTTTCATCTGGGCTCTCATTTGTGGCTATTTCTCATGTCAAAAAACTTAAAGGATTAGCTTTCCAGACACTATTTGGTATCAGTTGTGGAGAGGAGACAGAAAAATGAAGATGTTGAGGGAGGACAACACCAGATACTGTGCATCTGGTTTAAAACTTAATACTTATAGCATGGATCTTAGCTATGTGTTTAATGAATAGCTATTTTAACAGGACTTAATATTGTGTAATTGTTAGGATAAAGCAAGCTCCTCATTTCGTAGGTGAGGTAACTCACATACAAACATAATTTTGCATTTTGGGTCGCTATCTATACAAAGGGGAGACAAGCTCCCCAAAAATAACAGCAAATAACGTAATGCGGTCGGACAGGGTCGGACGCGTGATTAAGGTGTGACCGCGAACTGCTTGATTCTCAACCATCAACGCGTCGAGTGTTATATTGTCAGAAGCTCTCGCTGTTCTTCATCTGCTCGCTTTAGTTCCTCTCAGTAAGGTCTCCTTATGGCTAGTCGGGATGCGGTAAGGGTAAACGCGCAGCATCAGGGCAGCCACTCACTCTGGGGGTGATCTCGGAAGATCATCAATCATCGTTGTGGAGAGCAAGTATCACTCAGGACGAGCTCACTTGGCTTACGGAGGACACCGCCCAACAGACGGGCAAGGGTAACCTCTGCATTTGCCGCAAACGAAACGGTGCGGTTACAAAGGAGAGACAGTAATATCACCGCCTTGGAGAATCACTCCAAGGTCAGTAGGGCGTCAATGAGAGAAGCGATTGCATCATATATCATGTCAACACAGAGCCTTAGTTACAAGGAACCCCATCAAACGTCTAAAGCAGATCCTTCAGGACAACAATTACGATCTCATTGATGATCATTGCTTTAGAACCAGTGGTACTAGCTCGTTGTCACTGAGCGGAGTCCCACGAGATGCTCTAAAAATTCTGGGGCGCTAGACTTATGATACCTTCTTGAAAAATACTGGTATTCACTGGATTTAATTGCGCCCATGTACGTCAAGCTGCTGCGACCAATTTTCTCTAGCCTTAACCGTCGCTAAGCCTATGGCTGGGGTGGGTCCTTCCTCCAGCTCGCTTACCTCCGGTGCTTCCTTTGGGTTGAGTGGCGAACCTAGATGAATCAACCCAGCGACAAATGTCTTATCGTGAATTCCTGCTGAGATGAGAACGCATCTACAGAAGATACAGATAGTGAAATTTCCTATCGCGAAATCTCGGTGAGATGACAAAGTCTCTACAGGCCTCAACAGGAGCAGCGCGAAAAGAAAGCCCTCCATCTAATAGATCTCGGAACAAGGTGAGCCGAGTCTACTGACTATGTTCCAGGTTATACTAATATTATGTTCAGTACTTACATCTACAATAGCGGCATTCACTTTGCTGCTGCTCGTCGGCCCTATAACTCTGCCAACACGCATTAGCACGCAGCGGTAACTGTCGTAGATCTTCCTAGATACACTGTAGTTATCAACCGAGCATAGGACAAGCTAACAAGGCTCTCCGAGAGAGCTCGACGTGTGGGTTCCATCATTGGACTCGGTGAGGCCTCAGCCTATGGGATGTAAACACACGGGCTCTTGGCACAGTTGGTAGCGCGCACGCTTCGCATATTTATTCGCAGTTGCGTGAGGTCGTGAGTTCGACTCTCACAGTGTCCAAATTTTTAACCACGACTTCTTCTCAACACGTGATAGTATTTGTGTGTGTTAGGATTGCCTCCGGACACGTATAACGATCAAATGCGTAAATCCGAGGATTCAGCTGGCAGGCCAGGCCAATTCTCCGCTTCTTCTCAGTTTGTTCTCTCTTTCTGGTCTTTGGCTTTCCTCTGCGTTTGTGGCGGGCAGCTATGTCGTCCGAAGACTCTGACTCTTCTCTCTTGGACAAACTCGACTCGGTCGTCCCAGCGCCCTTGGCTGAATTCGATGCTTTCCCAAAGATTCCTTCGACGTACAAGGCGCGCTCGGAGTCCCGCGGGTTCATGACCATCTTTGTGGCGCTATTGGCGCTGTTGCTCATGCTCAATGATATCTCAGAGTACATCTGGGGCTGGCCGGATACGGAGTTTAGCATCGATAATAATAAGCAGAGTTACATGGGTATCAATATCGACATTGTGGTCGGCATGCCTTGTCAATGTGAGTAATAACAAATCCAGAGTCCGGTATCTCATTGTGTTTTCTTCCAGACCTTAGTGTGGATCTAAGAGACGCGGTTGGAGACCGTCTGATGCTCACAGGCACTGTGCGCAGGGATGGGGTATGCATCCCTGTGTTCATCTTTGAATTAGTCATCTAATATCGAACTAGGCTGTTTTTGACACGAAACAAGCGAACCAATTCGTCTCCCATTCAAAGGCACTCTCGGTCGACGAGGCTGTTTCGCAGTCGAAAAAATCCCGCGGTCTGTTCGCCTGGCTGCGCCGAGCAAAACCGCAGTTTCGGCCGACGTATAAGCATGAAGCGTCTGCAGATGCGTGTCGAGTCTGGGGAACACTTGCTGTTAAAAGAGTCACTGGTGACACTACTCTTCTCCTCTTCTTTCTGTGATAGCTCATTTCTTGCCAGCTAACTTGCATATAACAACTCTTGGACATGGATATGCTAGCTACCAACACGTTGATCATAGCAGTCAGTACCTTTCTCCCGCACACCGGCGATACCGAAATTTACCCTTGTGTAGAGATGAACCTCTCCCACATCATCAAAGAATTTTCGTTCGGACCTCATTTCCCTGAAATAGTTCAACCTTTGGACTATTCGTACGAGGTTACCCATGATCGTACGTTTTCTTTGCCACTTATTCAACCCCGAACCGACCTATCTTCCAGCCTTTGTTGCATACCAATATTTCCTCCACGTCGTTCCCACCACCTACATCGCCCCGCGCTCCAGGCCCTTAAATACCAATCAATACAGCGTAACACACTACACGCGCGTCATGGAGCACAACCGCGGTACACCTGGCATCTTCTTCAAATTCGACCTCGACCCTCTCAGCATAACCATCCACCAACGCACGCCCTCCTTGATCCAACTCATCATCCGATGCGTCGGCGTCATCGGCGGGATCTTCGTGTGCATGGGCTACGCGATTCGTATCACCACACGCGCAGTCGAAGTCGTATCCGGCGCGGACGCAACGCCGGGCATCGTCGCTGCCGAGGCTTCGGGCGTGAAAGTGGGCCTTCGAGCCAAGTGGGGCGGGTCAGAGCTGCGCTCCAGAGGTAAGATGGTCAGGCAGGGATTAGGATGGGTGATGGAGGGTGGTGGAGATGGGCTCTCACATTCGCCTTCGTACGCAAGTACGTCTTACGTCGGCACGCCGGCGTCGAATGGGTTCCCTTCACCTCTGTCTGCTTCCGTTTCTGCTTCCGGATCGCCGTTCTCCGCAACAGCCACACCGGGGTTCAGCGTCAGTGTGCCGCCTACGCCCTCGGGTATGAGTATTCCGCCTACACCGCAAAGCGGGGGGTCGCACGGTCCGTCCGTGTTCGGACCGCCCCCCTCGGCGAATGCCAACGCTATGCGTCCTGGGGCGACGTGGACACCTGCACCGGGGCCGAGGACGCATACGCATACGCGTACGCCGTCTTTAGCTGCGTCTCTGTCCGCGCCGAGTGCGCCGAGTACGCCGGGGTATCCGACGTTCCCGCCTACATCTGGTTCGAGTGGTAATGGGACTGCGACTACGACTGGGCCACCCCCAAAGAGAGTGGTTGGTGCGCCGAAAAAAGATGATTGAGGTAGACGTTGGGACATATGTATTTACTGTATGTTATGTAGAATGGTGTATTGGCACAATGAAAGTTCCTTTTTTTCAGTCCTTACAAGGAGTTTCGTACTCTGTTCAATGAGGTGTTCCTTGACCACGTAGCCAGGATAGTCATTATGATCCCAATCCGAGCGTCGACGGATTCAGTGTCAAGCTCCAGCCATGCACAAGACTACGATGTAGTGGATATATCAAAGACAGAGCGCCATGCGCGAGGCACTGATGTATCTCTAAAGACGAAACAATGACATTTCTGGGTCAACTCTTGGTCTACTTTTGGTTAACCCTTGGAAATATTGGAACCTCTGGCCGACTCTGACTTAGATCCCCTCATATGTTATTGCACGATTGACAATAATGACAGTATAACGACGATCACGCGCAAGGGGGAAATTTCCGAGGCGGGGATGAAGCAGATACCAAGCGCCACGTGAGGCAACAATAGATCTTCGAAGAGGAAAGGAAGGCATACGTTCAACGTTCAACCCTTAACAATATTGGACCTACTTACTATCAATTGACTCGCATTGTTCTCCACCGGGCAATTGGAAATAAGGAGTGGCCGTATGCTACCCTTGCAAAAAATTACCATTGTCCATCCAATCTGGGCTCGTCTAGGACTGCTGTCGTCGCAAGTACGCACATGTCGTGCCTACATCACACATCAAGTTCCGCGCAGATGAGATGTAGAAAGGGACTCTGTCATGGCGGGAACAAGTTTCCAGTACACGAAGCCATGTGGTTGTGAAAACTTGCCACGCTTCTCACATCCCAGGACATCCAGAACTTGGTTGCTTCATGATGCGTGTTCCCTGTCTTTGAAATCCTCCACTATTCGAGATGTACAAGGCAGTCAGAGAGTCCATTGTCGTGGAATAATATTCGATAATTTGATCTGCGGACTGAAAACCGCGTGCAAAAGGAGAAATCGCCGAAGTGGAGGCTGATAACTAGAGGCCAAGCTACCGGCATCTCTTGAAACAGAGAACAATGGCAAAAATGAATCAGCTGTTGAAGGTTTTGTGACCCTCGATTCGGACTTGACTCATTTTCATGCAGCAGAATGGAGATTTTGGAGACAGTAGTATGTTGTTCTGGGAAGACTTCCCATTGTTCTAGCTGATTGGGAGCTGTCGAAAAGGCGCATGTCGGGCCTAGCACGCAACCCTGCCATGGCATGATAGGAACACGTTCATCGAACAATGGTGCGTGCGGTAAGCTGAGGAAGTACATGAAATTACGAATGCCTCCAGATTGTTCGAAATCGTAGGTTTGTAGCTCGTATTCACCAATGTATTTACTCGGCTTTCTCGACTGGTGTTGATCAAATTTTTCAAGATTTGCGATATCTGTAAGATTGTGATCGTATCTGACTGTTAAAGGACCGCTGAACCATGACTCGAACTTGCGCAATGCGGACGCGTGACCTGGAGGATATGGGTATGTAGTTGTAGCCGGATGGTCAAGGCAAAATCAAAGTGATCGAGGAGATGTCATTGTCGGTCGGAAAGGGGAAGTACCATCAACACGCGTGATTGAGCGGTGATCTAATTGATAGTCGAGAATTGTTAACTTATGTCTTGAGCTATAGGAACTGAGTCTATATAACCTGGCGACTTTACGAAAACTAAAGTCGCACTCTTATCATGTCTGGCAAGCACACGCGCTCGCGTGACTCCAAAGGACAAGCCCGCGACTCGCAGGCAGTGGTCCCAAGCAAGCGCACCCGCTCGTCCGAACAGGAAGAATCGGCCAAACGACACCAGCAGGACCCTAAGCTGCCAGCAGAGTCCCGGTTCGAAGTGGCAAAAGAAATGTTTCGTCAAGCTGGAGAACAACAGTTGCACACGACACTGCATAGTCTGATTGCAGCCAAGGCATCTTCACGAGTATTAGAAGCCGCTTACTCGCCATTCTTCAAGGAACTTGCCCTCGCAATCATCGACAAGGACGACATACCGATCCCGCCAGCAGGAGTGTATGCGACATCTTTTTGTCTTTCCTGCGACCCGTCGTACCAATTCCATGAAGGTATGACAGAGATGGCGATAAATAGTATAATTGATTACAGTCCGTCCTTTAAATCCTCCACCCGTCTTTTTGACTCACTTCTCAACAGTTGTGGACGAAGACAAGAAACGTCCTCGCGAAACGTTCAAGCTAACACCCGGTGAGTGTTCAAGGCAATTCTCTTCTCGTCCTCGGGTACTCAGAAATGCTTGCCTCAGAGGTCTTGGACTCGGTCAAAAAGGCTTGGAAGACCAACTATGTGGGCAAGAGCCACAATCTATTGATGGAAGCCATACAGGATATGCACGCGACATCCTCTATGAAACCCTACGGAAACTTTCTTGCCATAATTCAGGGATCCGGAACTGGTAAATCTCGGCTGATGTACGAGGTTTCCCGGTCCACTTTCACGATTCCAATAATCCTGAGACCTGAAGATGACAAATCAGGTGCTTTGCTTGCTTCATATCATGTATCGATTCTGACATCACGACAAAGGCTTCCCACTCGGTGATGTCGCCGGTGAACGATCACTAGTCAGGTTTTTTACCGACTTTGGATCGAAGTCGGCAATCTATGTTCAGCGCTGTCACCTGCTGTTTTTACTGAAGACCATCGACCAGGCGGTAGAATGGATTGATGGACAGACGGCGTTGAAGGGTGCATCCGAATCACTTGCTTCAAGATGGCACAAGCATATCGGGGATCCTTGCAGCAAAGTACGGATGGAGATGTATACAGCAGCGATTAATCAAGAACCTTTGGAATGGCTAGGCGATATACTCGACGAGAATGTTTCATTCGACACAATTCAAAAAAAAGGTTTGCGGTTTTATGGTAGTGAGGCGTCTGGTGCTGATTTCGTGTTTTAGTA